GTACGTACAGCTACAATAGACGCCCACGGCCCAGATTGAATCTGACCCGGTCTGAGGATCACAGATGTCAGATAGTGTTTAAATTTTAATTTGTTTTCTAAAAATCTATATCATTTGAAATTTTAGGCGCGTGTTCTTAAAAAATAGGCGAATCAACGAAATATATATAAAAAAACGTTTACATGAAATAAATCAACCAAAATACCCTTGAAAGTTTTGGGGGTATTTTGATCAATTGTTTTTCGCGAATTATCTTTTCGTATTTTTATTAGGTGTGCCTTGATGAGAAAAACACATGCCTAATATTTCAAGTGATTTGGATTTGTATTAAAAAAAAATAAAATTCAAACACTATCGGACATCCGTGAGCCTCAGATCAGCCACATGATGGCCTAGATTCAATCTTAGACATTCACGTATGATTGTACAACAGTGACTCCCTATATATATATATGTATATATATATAGATATTCAAATACTATCGAACATCCGTGAGCATCAGATCAGCTATATAGTGGCACATATTCAATCTGGGCCATTTGCTTATGGGCATACAGCAGTGAGTCCCTATATATATATAGGAAGAGACTACAAATGCCTACATGTGAAAATGAGCAATATTTTCACCCATAGGCTCGGTGCCGCCCAATTTTTTCTGACGGTGTGGATTAAAGACCATCACGCATGTTCGTCACGATCTGTCACAATTATAACATGTCCATGATGGGATTTTTTTACACAAAATTGACATAAAAAATATATGGGGGACCACCACGGCTCCTGTAGGTCCATGGCGGTTTTTAAGCAAAACTATCACCGACATGCTATGTTCGTGATGGGGGTTAAACACTGTAGCAATTCGCCTAGGGTCAGCCCACCAACTGATGTCAGGATGGAGCATCAACTCTTCTCATCAAGTCGTACCTCATAAAAATATTAAAAAAATAATTCGTATAAAATAAATTGACCAAAATACCTCACATTTTAGGGGTATTTTGGTCAATTTATTTTTGGTGAATTATTTTTTTGATATTTTTATTAGATTCCAATATTTTTGAAGAATAGGCACTCTAAATTTCAAGTGATTTGAATTTTTAGAAAAAAACATTAAAATTTAATAGTGAAATATAATTGTGATTATTGGATCGGCCCAACGGTTTAAGCAAGGGAAAGACCTAAAAGATCCCTTGCACCCGTCCAACTATGGCGATGACGTAAAATGCTGCCCATATCGGTTTGATGAGGGAAATGACCTTAAAAGTCTCACACCTTCTAACCCTACTCCTCCTGCTTCTCATTCTTCCTTGTCTATGTCTCCTGCAGGTACAACCTTGATATGTCCGGACTTCGATTCTCTCGATAGAGAACTTGAGGGATCAAACATAACAAAGACGCAACGGAAACGATTGAGAAATACTTTGGCGCAGGCAGTAGGATTCTTAACAATTGCTGATGCCTTGGCAGCTAAAGCCAAGGTAGAGCCACCTTCTGCAAAGAAACACAAGAAGTTAAAGCCAAAGAAACCCCAGTAGCCCCATGAGCCTGACTTCGAGCAGAGATTGAGAAAGTCGAGAGGGCACAGTTCTATTCTTAGGAAGCTAGCCACATGGTTCAAATTTCAGGAGCAATACCCACCATGGGGCTAAACAAGGCCTAAGGTACTCTTGGGATAATGAAAGCATCGAGAGGCATTCAGAAGAATCACATGAAGCGCAACAAAAGTAAGAGAGAATGAAATCATGCAGTAAATTCAATAAAAAAGAGAAGCGCTTTATTCATCAGTCAAAACTTTTACAAGTACTGAAAAATGGGGGAATCAGAAATGATCAATCATCTTATTGATCTCTTCGCTGCGTGCTTCAGGAGAAGTCTCGGTGCCTTAAACATGTTCCTTCAGCTCCGCCACTGTTTGAGTTGTCTTTGTCATCACCACAGTTTCCGAGTCAATTGTGCCATCGAGTTTGGACAAATCAGCAACCAAAGAGGCCTCCATGGCCTTCCTTTGAGCCGTGTTAGTCTTGAGGCTAGTGGATTCTTCTTTCAGTATTCGCATTGCCTCCTTGACTTCGATCATTCCC